GCCTGAGGCAGCCGAAGCGGCGGGCCCTGCGCAGTCCTGCTCCGCGCACGCGCCCCGCGACCTCCCGGTGCTGACAGCGCGAGCGCGCGGCCCCGCGGGAGCAGCACGGTGAGCCCTCGTTCCCCTTCCCGGCCGCGCCCCGGTCCTCGGTCCTCACCCACGTCCCCTCCCCGGACCGCGGTCCTCGGGCCCCCGCCCTCGTCCACGTCCCCTGCGGGTCCTCTTCCCTGTCCACTTCTGGCGGTCCTCCCTGGCCCGTCCGGCACCGCGGCCCCCGGCCCTCACCCGCGTCCCGTCGCCTCCGAGACTTCCTCCCCGGCCACAGCCCCTTCCCCATCCCGGTCCCCAGTTCAGGTCCCGGCCCCTCCCCGTCTGCGTTCCCTTCTGCGCGTCTCCGGCCCCGCACCCCCGGCTCGGCAGCGCTGCGGGCGGGGGCGGCGGCTCGCGGAACAGCTGCGGACCCCCGGAGCCTCGCGACTGGGGCTGGGGGACACACGGCCGCCCCCGGGAACGCGGCGCGCGGGGAGGGGCGGCCGGCCCGGTCGGCTTTGTCCGAATCCTCCCTCTTCCTTCCGGCCCCCGCCCTCTCCCGCGGCACCGCCCTGGGCGGGCGCGCCTGTCATGCTCGCGGGCGACGGGCTGCACGGCGGGTGGGAAGCGTGTGGGGTCCCTGCCGGGAGGCCGCTCCCGCGTCGCCTCCTCGGCGGTCCCTGTCTTGGAAGTGCCGGGCGCGAGGTGTTTCGTCCACAGGGTTCACCTGGGCTGGCGTTGCTCGTGCCGCTAAACTTGAGGCAACCCCGACGCGGTTGTCAAACGCGGTGCACCTCTTTCCTTCAAAAAACGCTTAAAGCCTTAAAGAAGTAAAATTAATGCCCGGTGGACTGGATGGTTTCATAAATAACGTAAGGTTTGTAGATCCAGGTAATTTTGTGATAGAATTGTTGTTGCTTATTGTTTTATTGTTTAAACAACACATTAAGAATTTACGTATTAAGCGTTTGATAAGGAGGACTTGCAAAAATGTTTTTAAAAAGTGTGAGAACAGAAAATTTGAGGTACACTATTTAAACTGGCATACAAAAGGGCAGTTCTTTGATTCTTTGCTTTAAATTCTAAGGCTTTTTTGGGTACAGCATGACTAAGCTACTGACCAGAATCATTAGCTCAGAAGACGTGGTAATAGTTCAGTGAAAAACCCATTAGGAAATTGGGACGAGGTTCTTAAGCCTCATGATCTTATTACAGTTCTGGATTTACCTCTTTCAGGGATTGGCAACCTTAGTTAGGGTGGGAAATTTGATTCATTGTTCTGTTTCCTAAGTATCTGTAGGAATACAATGATACTAAGTATTAAAAAGTTCAGATTGTGGGGAGCTGCGTGTGGGAAGCCAGGCACTCCTAAGAGCCAGTTTCTCCAGGTCATCAGAGAATGCAACATCATGTTGCAGTGGAGCCCGGCAGCCCTGTGGTGTTACCCAGGGGGGTGGAGGACCCAGGGTGGTAACTTCATTGTGACCTGGCTCGTTCACTTTGCTTGGAAGTGCCTTCTAAAAACGCTATACAATACAAGTAAAGGTGGAAGGACATGCCTGGGAGTCAGGACAGTACCTCCAGGAAGGATGAGAGAGAAAATGCCACTGGGGAGGGGCACATAGTATCTTAAATACTTTGAAATAAATAAAAACTTAGCTGTAGTTATTTAAAATTATACATTTAAAAAAATAAACATTCTTAAGCATGTTTCATAATGTTGAAAATAGATAAGCCATTGTGTAGCTTTCCATAGGGGACTATAAATGTCAAAACTTACTAATTTGTAGGATTCGTGTAACATGGAAAATAAGTGGAATATGGTAAGAAACCAGAAATTTATATAACAAAGACGTGATCAGTAATATCCTAAACAGAAGTACAGGCAGGTTTTAAGTGTCAAATTTCAGGACATAGAGTAGAAATGATTAGCATATTAAGTGGTGAAAGCATGGTCTTAAATCGAGAACCAACTGAATGGCAGGTGCTGTGCTAAGTCGTTGGGGAAATAGAGATAAAAGACAGTCACTGGCCTCCAGGAGCTCATAGTCTGGTGCGAGACCGAGGAAATCGTAGGGTACGGCAGATTAGGTTAAATACTGTGCTCAGTGCCCTGAGAAGGGGATTCTGGGTATGAGCCTTGAAGAAAATGTACAACTGGCCAGATGTGTGAGGGGTGAGATTGGTAGTGGCCGTTCTGGAGGACATAGGCCCTGAAGCGGTGCTGCCATAAAGGGGACTAAAGTTGGGAAGGGTGAGAGTGGAAAGGGAAGATCAGGGAAGGAAGGCGAGAAGGAGGATTGGGGGGATTCTTTTTTGGGGGGGGGAGATTGGAGGATTCTTTTTTTTTTTTTTTTAAGATTTTATTATCAGAGAGAGAGAGACAGACTCAGGCAGAGGGAGAAGCACGCTCCTTGCTCAGCAAGGAGCCCGATGTGGGACTCGATCCCAGGACCCGGGGATCATGACCTGAGCTGAAGGCAGACGCTTAACCGACTGAGCCACCCAGGCGTCCCTGGAGGATTCTTAAGAGTGAGGTGATACTTTAGAAAGCATGGTAGTATGGCAGGTGGGCAGGTGATTTGAACCAAGAAGAGATTTGGTGGGAAGCCATTAGGCCCAAGTGAGGACTGAGAGCTCCTGACTTAGGGCAGGGACAGTAGGAACAGTGATGCAAATGGACTAGAAATGGCTTCACTAGTTACAGCGGCCCTGACTTGGGAGTGACCAGACCAGCGTAAGGGTGGGGCTGCCATCTGGAAGAGATGGAGCAACAGTGATCGCAGCCAGAGCGAGCTGCTAGAACATAAGTTGGAGTGACATGTCACTTCTCTGCTAAGTTTTGGCCAATGTCCTAAAGGCACTCTGCCCCCATATCTTCCCCTCATCTTCCTACTCTGGCCTTCACATAAGCACACCCAGGCTCATCCCGAGCCTGCTCTACTGCATATCACTGTGTCCCCACTTCCCTGTGCTCCTTAGCACTTTCACTGTTTACAGTACTGTCATTTTACTTAATTATTTTCTTAGTTATTGTCTGTCTCTTTCACTTAATATCCATGATCTCCATGGGGTCAGGGATTTTTATAAGCACTCAGTAAATGTTTATTGAACGAATGCATCTAGAATTACTTCCCTGTCTCTAACTTGGGTGGCTCACTGGCTGGTGACACCCATCAAGAAGGTGGAAAACAGGAGGAGGGGGAGATGGTGAGCTTGGTTTTGGATAGGTTAAATCGGAAGTGCTTGTGGGGTGCCCAAGTGGACCAGTGGGCAGTTGGAGATTCAGGTTTGGAGTTCAAGACAAATATTTAGGACGGAGATAAAGATTTGGGAGATCTCATCATCCTGTTGAAAGTCAGTGTCTCTCCGAGAGCTTCTGACACTTAGAGACTGCGGAGTTGCCCTACGGGTAGGTGGAGGAGGAGGTCAGTGTCAAGTTGGCAAAAAGATCAAGGAAGATTTGGATGGACAAATCTATTGGATTTGGCTTCTAGGAGGCTTCTAGGAGGTTATTAGTGACCTCTTAAATTTTTCCTGAGATTATTACCTCCTAAGGCAGGCGTGCTAATTTAGAGGTTATCTGCATGCTTTCTTCTAGGGCATCCTTTTGTCTTTCTGCCCTACAGCCTCCCGGTTAATATATTCTTTCATCAAAATGAATTCAGAATTTAGTTTTGTCTTAACTGTTTTTTTTTTTTTTTAAAGATTTTATTTATTTATTTGACAGAGAGAGACAGTGAGAAAGGGAACACAAGCAGGGGGAGTGGGAGAGGGAGAAGTGGGCTTTCTGCAGAACAGGGAGCCTCATGCGAGGCTCGATCCCAGGCCTCCGGAATCATGACCTGAGCCGAAGGCAGACGCTTAACCGACTGAGCCACCCAGGCGCCCCTTTGTCTTAACTATTTTTAAAAATGTACTTATTTTGGGGTACCTGAGTGGCTCAGTCTCGTTAGCCATCCGCCTTCAGCTCAGGTCATGATCCCAGAGTGCTGGGATCAAGCCTGGCATCGGGCTCCCTTCTTAGCAGGAAGCCTGCTTCTCCCTCTCCCCCCGCCCCCCCGCTTTTGTTCCCTCTCTCACTGTCTCTGTCAAATAAATAAAATCTTTAAAAAATAAAAAAAAAAATAAAAATGTACTTATTTTAATTGAAGTACAGTTAACATACAGTATCATATTAGTTTCAGGTCTACAACGTATTCAACGGTTATAGACATTACAACATGCTCACCATGAGAAGTGTAGTTACCATCTCTCAACATACAAAGTTATTAAAATATTGTTTTAATTAATTTTTGAAGTCTGATGAAGGCAGTTTGGATCTGTGCTTTTAAATATGTTTAGTAATGTTGTCCATACTTAATAAAGTGGGTAGGTGAATATCAATAGAACAAGCATTTTAAGCTGAGTTAAGTACATATGTAAAGTAGACATTATTTCCTTGGTTCTAAAATATTCCAGTTACCTCAGTTTAAACCTTGGATTGTTCCCTGGCTGATTGCATAATATGGAAATTTATGTCCCAGCCTCTCTGAAGCTCACTTTACCACTACTAATAAAACTGGTATTAGCGAAGTTATGACTGAACCAGATAAAATTGGTGCTGTAATCCCCCCATTCTGTTGTGGACGAAACTGAGGTCAGAGAGGGCAGTTTACTTAAGCCAGAGGTATATAAGCTGTGAAGTCAGGCTTCTAATTCAGATATTTTTGCTAGATATTCATGCTTTGAACCACCTTGCCGTCACAATAATGCCTTCATCTGGGAAGTCCTTGGCCAGCTCTTCCATTTCAGAAGCCCAGGTGATGCAGCGTGGCTCTGGTGATTTCTTGGGGTTGCGGTCTAATGTGGGCTGTTTCAGGCACCACATTGTCATAGTGGTATTCATGTTCTTCACAGAGTGGGTGATCGGTAAAAGCTGATTGGGCCTTCATTTCTATGGTGAATCCACATGGGATGTTTTTTCTTAAATTCACTTATTGTGCCTGTTTATTTTTTATTATTTATTTTTTTAAAGATTTTATTTATTTGACAGAGAGAGACACAGCGAGAGAGGGAACACAAGCAGGGAGAGTGGT